TTCTTCTTCTTCTTCTTCTTCTTCTTCTTCTTCTTCTTCTTCTTCTTCTTCTTCTTCTTCTTCTTCTTCTTCTTCTTCTTCTTCTTCTTCTCCTTCTTCTTCTTCTTCTTCTTCTTCTTCTTCTTCTTCTTCTTCTTCTTCTTCTTCTTCTTCTTCTTCTTCTTCTTCTTCTTCTTCTTCTTCTTCTTCTTCTTCTTCTCCAGTTTTCATGAATAATTAAATTGTTCATGTTTAATTCACCATTTCAGTAAAATAAATATGGTCTTGTAAAAGAAACAGGGCATACAAATATCATAAAATTAAAAAAGGAAAACAGTATCTTATCTTTATAACATTTAACATTTTACACATTTCTCACTAATCAGATGAAGACTGACTCTCTAATCAAGTGGGAAATTATTATGAGCTACTACCACAATACTGATTGATAAGTTACAAGACGGAAAAAGTAGACTGGTCATGTAGCCTTGCTTTCCTGTGTTAGTGAAAGTTGACTTTACTGATGAGGATAGTACCTGGATCAAGAATTACCAGGATATAGATATGGTATGCATGTCTGAGTAAGGTTAATGGACAATCACTGGGTGGGCTTACATTGAATCTGCAGTTAACTATAGACCAATTCCTTTCCCCATAACTCCATGATTACAGGTGCTTTGAGTAAACAAAGTAAATATGACAATATGATTATTGAGGTCATTTTTCTCAAAGTTCTTACTGTTCAGCATGTTAATGTATTCTCAATATTATTCCATAAAACTATTTAGAAGGAAGGAAAGAGAATGAAAAATTTATTTCAGAAGAATAGGTGGTTCATTGTTTATATTCCATTTATTAGAGTAAGGGTGGATAATTTCTTTCACCAATTTGTTGAGGGACCAAAGTAGAAGAATTTGATAAGTGCCTAAAGCACTCAGAACTAACAAGAGGATGACTTGCAATGGGGTTATTCTGGACTAGTTCTAATTTCTGAGTAATCTTCAGTGAATATATCTTTCACTGAACTAGTCAAGTATTCATATTTCTTCTTTCTTGCCTCTCATTAATTGTTTTTTTTTTTAGTATTCAAATCAGGTTTTAATAGAATGACAAAGCATTTGGGGGGAAAAGATGTAGTCCAATAAACCTGCACTGGAAAAGAGAATGGAAAAGATCTCCACGGTCACCATGTATTTCCCCTTGTTGCTCAGATATGTTGGAAAAAAGGACAACCAACCAAAACACAACAGGCTGAAGAATAGAATAGAATAGAATAGAATAGAATAGAATAGAATAGAATAGAATAGAATAGAGCTGGAAGGGATCTTGGAGGTCTTCTATAGGAGATCCTATACCATTTCAGACAAGAAGATAAACTTGGTCTCATTAAAGCTATCTGGTAAATGCTGGCCTTGAAAACCCACACTGAAACCAATAATGGCAAGGAAAAGGATAAGACAGAGTAAAATATAAGAGTAGAGCCTTCATTATATCCCAGGATGATTTCACCTGCAATTAAGTTCATATCAGCATCTGGCTATGGGATGACGTTACAAGCCATATGGTACAAAGAACCTGTCCTGGGTGGATAGAAGTTCCATTGAGGCAAAATACATCCAGTTTGCAAAAAAGTAGCTGTTAAAGATGTGGAAGCCCAATCTGATGTTGGATAAGATTTGGGGAATCTCGTTGAGTTCCTTCACAGCAAATGCCAGGATGTGCTGGTAATTCTCAGGGGACATCCTCATTCTCATAATTACCCCCTTAAAAATAGACGTATTGTATGGAATAAGTTTGAAACATATTATTTTTTAAATATGTATGGTATAAATTTACAATATAAATTTGTGCCAATGGATTAAATTCATCATAAAAATGTAAGAAATTGTTCCATAAGTTAAAAAAGACAAAATGCAGCTATTGTTTAGCGCCAAGAAATATATATAAAAAACACTACAAAACTTTCAGTTAAAGCAAAGGAAACTGAGACAAGAATATATAACTGCTCTACAAAAGAAAACAATGAAATATTAATTTATATCTGAGCACATGCCTGGAATGATTTGAATAAATCTAAAGAGAAAAAAGAGGATATAATGCAGATGTTTGAAAAATGGGGAGGTCAGAAATGTAACACATTGTTTTATCTTTATTTATTCTATTTTCTGTTTTTTACCATTTTTATTAATTAAACTTGCTTTGCCCAACTCTTTTTCCCTTTTAATACATGTTGTATATATTTGCAGAGATAGATAGATAGATAGACAGACAGACAGACAGACAGACAGACAGACAGACAGACAGACAGACAGACAGACAGACAGATAGATAGAATTTTTAACACCACATGGCAAGACTTAGACGATTGAAAGGCACTATCATATAGAATCAACTACCAATAATCCTAGCAGTGTAATTCTGCCTGTCCCATCCCTCATGAAAGAGAACATGAGATCATTGTTCATATCAATATAACATGAGATATTAGAATACTTGACTGTTCACTTATCATCTTATCCTGAGAGAATGTTCATGAAGCAGGAAATTATTGTACAACATTAATTATGGTTATTTCATAATTACAATGTGATGGAGAAATATTTACCAATTTTGAATTCTATGTTCTCTCAAAAAAAGTTTCAGTGCTCAACATGTTGATATTTATGGCACCTGAGCTGGCATCTCCCCAATCTCTCTTTGAAATAATTTTCTGTAGCAGTGCCTCACCTCTGTAATGAGGTTTAAATGCTCACTTTTGGATGCATCTGTTTCTTTCTATGAATTTATTTGTTTGTCTCTCTCTCTCTCTCTGTATGTGTGCGTGCACCCACCCAGGACACAAACACACACAAACACCAAAAACAGTGTATTTTCAATACAGCATAAAAAAAAACCCAAATAAACCAAGGTAGAAAGTAAGAAAATGAAAATGAATGAAAAAAAAAAAGAAAACATAGTTATGTCTTCTGCATTTCTTTCTTTCTATTTTCCAAAGCACCTGAAGGCAGGACAAGTAGTAATGGGTGTAAAGTAATCAAGGGGTGAACCAACTTAGAACTAAGGAGAAATTTCCTAATGGTGAGAACAATTAACCAATGAATTGCCTTCAGAGGTTGTGGGTGCTTCATCAAGGGAGGTATTTAAGAAGAGATTGGACAGTCATTTGTGTAGAATGGTATAGGGTCTCCTGCTTGAACAGGGGGTTGGACTAGAAGATCTCCAAGGTACCTTCAACTCTGCTGTTCTGTTATTTATTTTCCAATTCCTGAAATCTTAAATGTGATATTTTGTTCTTTCAACAAAACTGTCAGAACTCATATTCAAAGGGCCTTTTCTTTTTCTTCTAAACCCGAATTGCATTCTCTTCTCTCCTTAGGTTCTGCCATACTCCTGGAGACGAGGGGGCAAATGCTTGAGGGTTACTGCCTTGTTTTTCCTCTATTGCTACAATGTAACACTTTGCCGTTAATGCTTTCTTTCCTATGAACTTTCTCTCCCCTGTTGTCAGCTAGTAAAGGGGAGGAGGAGAATGAAATGTACCTACGGCAAGTGCTTTATCTCCGCGTTCACAAGAGAAGGTGCCGCCTAAACATCGCTGCAGCCGGAGACGGCCTGATATTATCTCCTTTTTCCCACAACGAACTTAACATCTTGGAATTTGCCTGTTTGAACTGACTGGATGAACTATGGGGTGGGGTTATGTTTGGGATACTTTTTATCTATCGATCTGGCAGGAAACCCTCAGAACCTGTCTATGATGCCTACTATCAGCTTCTCCTAATAAAAGCTCCTTTTGGAAGAAACCGCTTCCACGAGTTCTACTTTCTTGGGATGAGGTATTGAAGCGGGCCCTGACAAAAACATCTATATAAGATTTCCAGTCTTTCAAATATTTTTTTTTTCTCTAACTAGACTGGCCACTTCTACATGCTCAGTTATTTTTATAGTTGAATCTTCCACTGTAAGCTTTCTAGAACAAATGGGAATTTGCCTAATTTTTAATCTCTTACTAATAATGAGAGGCTTTGGTAAGTTATGGATTCTCTTTAGTCATAATAATTATTTCATTTTCTTGCTGGTAAGAAGTAACATTTCTTAACACCTGGCAGCAAGAGTTAGGATTATGATTAGAGATATTTGGGGTAAAAACAGAGCAAACACTAATGGGGTGACTATGCATATGACAATGTAATTTGAGTATTCAGATTATTTTTCTCAAAACATCTACAGTCCCGCATATTCACGTTTTCTCATATTATTCCATAAGAGAAGGAAGGAAAGAAAATGAAAATATTTCAGGGGAGTACACGATTCATTTATTCTACCCAAAGTAAGGGTGGAAATACCTGGGGTCATAATTAGTTTTACCATTTTTTTTGGGGGGGGGGTCTAAGATAGGAGAAATTGATAAGTGCCTAAAGCACACAGAAGCAATAAGAGAATTTCTATGACTTGCAACAACTTCATTCTGTTCCAATTTTTAATGGACTTCAGTGAATGTATTTTTCACCAAACTAGTCATGGAATTATATTTCTTCCCTCTTGCCTCTCATTAACTGCTTTTTAGTATTCAGATCAGGCCTTAGTAGAATGACAAAACATTTGGGGGAAAAGATGCAGCCCAATAACCCTGCACTGGAAGAGAGAATAGAAAAGATCTCCACAGCTACCATGAATTTGCCCTTAGTGCTCAGATATGTTGGGAAAAAGGACAACCAGACACTGCAAAAACACAACAGGCTGAAGAAGATAAACTTGGTCTCATTAAAACTGTCAGGTAAATGTCGGCCTTGAAAAGCCACACTGAAACCAACAATGGCAAGGAAAAGCAGGTACAACAAGACACAGTAAAACATGAGAGTAGAACCTTCATTACACCCTAGAATGATTTCATCTGCCACTAGGTTCATATCAGCATCTGGGTATGGGGGTGAAGTTACAAGCCATACAATGCAAAGAGTGACTTGAATGAGGGAACAAAAAACAACAATGTAATTATCTAATTGCTTGCCCAGCCATCGCCTCATCTTGGATCCTGGCACTGAAGCCATGAAAGCTAAAATCACAATTATAGTTTTGGCCAATACACAAGAAATAGCTACTGAGAAAATGATCCCAAAAGCAGTTTGTCGCAAAAGGCAGGTCACCTTTTCAGGTTCTCCAATGAATAATAAACTGCAAAGGAATGAGAGCACAAGGGAGATGAGGAGAAGGTAGGTGATGTTCCGGTTGTTGGCCTTAACTATAGGAGTGTCCTGGTGTTTGATGAAAATTCCAAGCACTACAGTGGCAATGCAAGCAAAGAAAATTGCTGTAGTGGCCAAACTAGTTCCTAATGGGTCTTCATAAGAGAGGAAAACTATATGCTTTGGAAGACATGAGTCATGGTTGTTGTTTGGATACTGTCCATCTGGGCATGGCCAACAATCATCCATGTCTGTGGAAATGAATGAATGAACAAACAAATGAATGAATGAATGAATACCTTGCTATTATTACAATGTAGAAGTTACTATATTAATGAAGCAAAACAATAGTATTTAGACTTATAGTCCTTTACAGCACTCTTTAAGCAATTTACAGAATCAGTATATTGCCCTGAACCATTAACTAGGGCCTGTTTTACTGACCTTGGAAGGATGGATAGCTGAATGAATCTTCAGCTGGTCAGGATTGAACTCCTGGCTATGGACAGAGTTAGCCTGAAATTCTTCATTCTAATGCATCATGGCTCAAAATTTAACAAAATGGGCCCTGGTTAATGCTTCAAATAGAAGGCTCCCTGGATGTTACAGAGGTATTATTTAGGCTGAAAGCACTGATAAACCATGTCTATAATGCAATCAATGAAACAGTAACTAAACTGTAAATACTGAATTTACAACTGATGCAAAATTGGACTAAACTATGTTTCATAGTTTTGATTACTTTCATAGTTCAATATGTTAAAATAAGGCAGGATATAAGGCGATGCATATGTTTCTTTATGTGTTAGGGAAAATGTTTTGCTTGCAAGCAAAATGTTTAGATGCCAGTTTTTCATATCAAATGATAGAAGTAAAGGAAAGTTCTTCAAAAATTTAATATTGAAAGAGAAATTTAAAATGGAATTTGTTGCAGTGGAAATTTACTGAGTGAAGAAACAAGCTTATAATAGATGGGAACCAGGAAAGGATAGCATAAAGGAAGGATGTAAGAGAAACACATAGGAAAAATTGTTATCTGGGTCTTCAGAATGGGAAAAGGAGCTGTAATAGAAGATAACTAGCAAAACAGGAAAGAACCTATTTTTCTAAGAAGTCATAAAAAAGGAGGCCAGAACTCAGGCAACTGAGCATGTGCAATTAGTTGATTAATATTAACTGACACACCTTGCATAAATTATCTCCTAATTTTAATGTACATATGATTTATGGTATAGTATGCAGCAGGAAATATGTAGGAGGCGGTCGGAAAGAGTGTAACTTCATAGTACCTCAGCCAATGGGGAAAGAGAAGGGATGTGGCAGCCGGGATGGGGCTGTATAAAGGGAATATTTTGGCTGAAACTTTGGAGAGAACCAAGCTTTGATAGCTTCTCTCCCCACTTATTGCATTAAATGAAACAAAAGGCCTTCACTGTGTCTTGGCAGATTATTGGTCAGGTGAGCTTGCCTCTGGTCACGAAGGAAAGTAGCCAGGAGCACATAACATCAAAGATTGGAAATTGAATTTTTAGCTCATTGTAAACGTACATCACAGGCATATTACCTTTTCAAAATCACAGACAGGAAGAGTTTCTGGGGGGAGGAAAGTTTCTAGAAAAAAATCATGTCATAGGTTTTCTAAAGAATTTGTTTAAACTATGAGAAGAGTGCGTAATTTCATTGCTTATTTACAATACAGCAGGTAGTTACACTAACCTAAAAATGGGGGAGATGCAAGTCTTTTATATAAATTTTATGTAAATTAGAATATGCAAATTATTTGATATAGACAGCAAAGGTTTTGATTAAATAGAGTAGCACATCAGATCTTTAGCGAGAAAGTTAGAGCGGAACTACAAATGCAATGCTGGTTTTGAAAGAACTCAACAGTATTTTAGGAATAGTTTCTTTGTAGAGTTGTTGTTAAATTTGCTTTAGTTTCCAGAATCTGTTCTGTTCTCTTAGGTTTTAGCAACATTAATTGGCTAGAGGTCTTAAGGTTGAGAAGACCCCAGCTTCATTTTTTGTGGAAGTTAATTATGGCACTCATCCCAACCATCTTCGTAAGATTTCGTATAATGCATAAAGCATATAGTATTACAAAACACTCTGAAATTATTCCACCCAGGTTCTAATGGGTTAATATTTATAAACTGAAGAAACATTACCTTTATGATCAGCAATCTTCCCTTCTGGACAGGAAAAGCACTCATAGCAACAAAATGGCTTTCCTTCTATTTTGACCTTACTTGAACCAGAATGACAATAGTCATTACACAGGGATTGTGGTCTTTTCTGAATGAAGGAGATGAAAAATAAAGGAATCTGTTTGGTAGTTCTGGCATGCCCAGGGACATTACTTTTATTGAAACATAGACAGGGCTTTTTTTTCTCATAGAACGCCCAGAATGGAGTTCCGGCACCTTTTTTAGATGGAACCTTGTAGGGTAGGCAAGGCAGGTTGTATGACGTGTGTGAGTTCCAGCACTTTTTTTTTTTTTTTAGAAAAAAAGCACTGAACATAGATATATATTTTCTACATTCACTGTTTGGGAATGAGATATTTTTAGATGACTATAATGGTGATCAACAACATGGTTTGTTAGTGTCATGGCAAGCATTTCTAGGTAATGTTCATCTTGGATATGATGAATGATACACACTAGGCAATGACTTGAAGTGCAGCAAAGAGGGATTTGAGTTCAATTTACCTCAGATATTGGTCAGTTATCCGAGGCAATGACCTCATATAATTAATATCAAAGTCAGCTCCTTGAGAACAACATGGAAGCATGTTACTGTTGTCTCCAGGATTCCCCCACCTCCATAAACTACCTAAGCCCTTATGTTTTCACTCCTTCTATTGTCAATAAGCTTTGAAATCACATACCACACTTTAGATCAATTTCAATTCAAAACATAATTTCAATACTTCAATGGGCTATTGAAGTTACAGTTGGAAAGTAGAACAACACTTTGAATATTTATAATGTGGTTTAAATTATCCTCAAACCTATGTAAAATACTGTAGGTATCTATTTAACTCTTCTAGTCCATACAATGAAGTCCTTTAGAATGTCAATCATTTTAGTTGAGAACTGTCTGAGTGGCATAACACTCTTCTTCTAAAGTTATTCAGAAGGTTGTTAAAATACTGTTGTATGATTGTACACTAAACCATAAGGCACATCAAATTCAAATCACAAGTTTAGTATCAGAATAAGGCTACATTGTTTCAATAGATTATTTTTTTAAAAAAATATTCAAAAATATTTAAAATTTGTACAAAATATATACCTGGTTAAATCTTGTGGGCCATACAATAGAGTCCTCATGAATGTTGAACGATTTAGGAGAGGAAGGGTTTGGGTCTACCCATCCAATTTTGAGTTTTGTAAATGTGTTGTTTTCATATGTCACCCAGTTAAAAATATCAAATCCAGCAATTATATGTCCTTTGTCATCAAAGGAAATATTTTCTCCAGCTTTGTTTTTAAAGAAAATATTTCTTATAAATTTGTGGAGCTAAATTGAGAAAAAAATATAGAGAAAATGAAGCCATGGAGAACCTTCATAAAAATCCTAACACAATTTAAAACTAAGATAAATGAGCACTGATGATTTTACCCAGTTTGGATAATGAAACATCTGCAAGAAGACGAGCTATCTTAGAGAGTACCAAGAACCCTGAACTAGAAATAATCTCCTTTATTGATAAGATAAATGATTTTGAGGGGGAAAACTTACAGAAAGGAGGACAAGAAGGAGAAGGAAAAGGAGAAGGAGAAGGATATGGACAAGGACAAGAACAAGGACAAGGACAAGGAAAATTCAAGGCAGTTGCCCAGACACTATCTGAAAGTTTGGGAAAGAAATTTGGAAGAATTTGCAGCATTTTAATACATATGTACAATTTATATGTGAGGATATAGATTTAGACATCTGTTGTATATAGCATGTTTAAATATGTGTTATGTATGTGTACACTTTTGAGAGCAAGCAACAAAATTTCATTTTAATGTGTGCCAATGTGCCCAAGTAAAAAATAACAATAAAGGTTATCTATCTATCTATCTATCTATCTATCTATCTATCTATCTATCTATCTATCTATCTATCTATCTATCTATCTATCTATCTATCTATCTATCTATCTATCTATCTATCTATCTATCTATCTAGCTATCTAGCTATCTAGCTATCTAGCTATCTAGCTAGCTAGCCATCTATCTAGCTATCTAGCTATCTAGCTATCTAGCTATCTAGCTATCTAGCTATCTAGCTATCTATCATATGCTTTACATTTACATTTACATGTTTACATTTGACAATTATTTTGTGCTACTTTAAATTAAGAAAAAAATATATTATGGATACTGTTTTTTATTATTCCCTTCTCCTTTTTCCTTTTATGTTAGTTTATATTTTAATGTTTAACTTGGAAATATAATAAAGGTAATATAAAAATATAACATATTAATCTTTACAGTAATAGAAACAATATATACATTTTGTGTGCAGAAAATATAACATTTTACATATTTTATCTTTTAACATTCTGAATATGTAATATATATTCAGAAGCTATATATTTAAAAAGGAAGAGGGAAAAACCACAAAGAGAAATTTGTTCCTGCTTTAATTATTTAAACATAATATATCTTCCTTTAATTTTTGAAATTTCCTCCAGAAGGTAGCCAACATTATATCTCAAGATTTCTGATAAAAAAAATTCATAAATATTTATGATTTAAGGGAAGAACTGCATTTTTTGCCTCTTTTATATTTATTTCTTAGCATTTAAGTGGGTAATAAATTGTCTTAATAATTCTTCATTGCAACATATTGAATTGTCTACTAAAAGGAGTCTACATTGTCTACATCCTAGATACCTTCCAGGGTTCTCCAAGTAGATATTGTTTTCTCATGTTTCTTGTCTTTGCTTTCTCTATTGAGTTGGATGAAGTTATGGCATATAAAGCATGTGCTATAATGTAAACTGCATTGTAGATACTATAACTGTGACCAGACATGTTTGTGTCAAAAAGAGTTCCAGGTAGATTATCCATTTTTTCTTCCCCAGTGCAGATCTTCTCATCTCTTTGTGGTAGACTAGAATTTAAGAAAGCACAATTAAATGCATCTTTCCAGAAGATTCGGATAAACCCATCTCTAATTTCTGAAGCAGGATTTCTTTCTTTTATAAATTGTTGGAATCCTCTAGGATGATTTGTATGAACAGCAAATGA